ACGTATGTTTCCTGTATGATTGAAAAACCACCAAAACTGTCAAATTCAAATGACCCATAAATCATTTTTTTGGATCACTGTATGATTGACAAAATTTTAATATCAACTGCCAAAATGCATTTATTATTGTTTTCATTCCTGTGTGATTAAATAAAGGATATTACATGGGTGCATGGAAATATTGTGCTAACTCGTGGGATAAATTAAAATTCAAAACTTGAAGATAAAATTCATATCTTCAAGTGACAGCTGTAATGTTCTGTTTATTAAATGACGTTGGTGTAAGTAAAAGTGTGTAACATTTTCATTATAAGATCAAAATTTTTGAACATTTCAAGAACATATTAATTATCAATTTATGATTTATGCATGATTGAATAATACCAAAACTGTCAAAATGCATTTATATTATTTTATGATTCCTGTAAAGATTGAAAAATACCAACTATTAAGAATTTACAAAAAAAAAATTGCGAACAATTATTGCATTTGTTATTATTTTTATTACCGTATTTCTGCATGATTGAAAAATTTCAACTGTCAATTCAAAATGCATTTAATAATATATATAAATCCTGTATGATTGAAAAGTTAAAGTTTCAAAATATATTAATAATTTRTATTAATTCATGATTTCTGTAATCGGAGTACAAACATTAAATGTGTGCTAATACTTTCCACTATTTAGTACAAAATTATGTTAATTAAACAATAGAATTAGCATAATTTAGCAGTATTTAGTGGTATTTATGTTGCACAGTTTTAGTGTTTGTACTCTATCTAAAGAAGTTTTATTTTGGTAAATAACCTTTAGCATTATACATGATGGTCGTACTAAAAGAAGGAATGACCTAAAATGATCTAAAATGACCTAAAATGACCTAAAATGATCTAAAATGACCTAAAATGATCTAAAATGACCTACAATGAGCTACAATAAACAACATTTAGTGGAAGAAATGGTGATATTTTGTATYRTCRTACTKTTGSMCACAACAAAACCTGCTYAAAMTGTCTCAAAATGTCCGTTAAATAAGCTTTTATAACTTTGAATACCCAACTCAAATATAGCCGGCATCGCATCAGGTGCATTACAGAAATCTAGTTGTCTAGTCAATAAATTATTCTTTGCTTTGCTTTGATAAATGAAAAAAAATCCAGAAAGTTACGTTTCTAGCTAGAACGTTTTAATTTTTTGGGGCTCCCTGTGTTAACAAATAAACAGGAAGCCCACAAACTTCAAACGGCTCGTTGATTTATTAGTCTCGTTTGCATCCGTTTCCGGTGTCAAAACGCGAAGGATGCGAATAAGTTGTTCACATTACTTTAAGGGAAAAATTTACACTGCACGGTAACAATCATTTGATTGGTTGATAAAGATTTGAGGAAAAGTAACTTTGTACGGCAACACTGATTTGATTGGTTTATCATGGTTCGAGGAAAAGTAACTTTGTACGGCAACAATGATTTAATTGGTTTATCATGATTTGAGGAAAAATAACTTCACATAGCAACCAAATTTGATTGGTTGAATAATTGAAGAAAAAGTGAAGGTCATTACTATCACTATTGTCACAAACAAGCCATCTTGGAGGTAAGTACTTTTTATGATTTTCTTGGACTAAAAGATGAAATCTAAAATGTATTATGACATTACAAAAACAAAATACAAATGACAGAACAATAATTTCTAAGTATATGCATTTTCTGCAAAAATAGATACCACACTGTATGTAGCACCTGCAGCATGTTGATGTCAAATGACCCAGAAGGTATAACCATTGTTTTTAAATTCATAAAATGTCTGCTCATATTTGCACAAAATTAATAATATTGATATTTTTATCAGAGTGGCATACATTATGATGTGGGCTGTAGAAGCTTTCTGGGGCGGCACAGCATTTTTGGCTCTCAAGGGGGCTTAAAATTGTAATTTCATTTCAATGATAAAAGGTTTACAATTTTGATTAAATACTATGAAAGAGTACAGCTATTTGGGGACTAAAATAAATAGTGATATGACTATTGACATACACAGTTTCATTGTACATAGTGTGGTCTCTTGAGTGATTTTTATAATTACTATATTGTTATGAAGAGTTTGAGTTGAGTGATAACTATCATTTTGTTAGTAACTAGATGCTTTAAAACTACTATAATAGTTGTTCATTGACAATTTTCCCATAATTTTTCTTAGAAATCATTGCTATCTCATCATCAGATGATGAGGAACTTAACAACTCCATATGGGACACAACCATCAAGGTGAAGTAGATCTACATAATGGAAAAGTATTGAAATGTAGATAACTGAGAAATGTCACAAACAATTCCCATTGTCTTTGGGTTTCAAATGCTGTTGTTATAGTAGACTTGTCTCCAGGCTACTTTCCACTATCTCTTGATCCTTGATTAAAACAATCAAATAATTTTGATTCTTTTAGATGTTCATGCAATATTATGACACATTTCATTATATTCACCCAGCTGTTATTTGTTTTCTACCGTACACTGTAGGTAGAGAATTTAGAAGATGAAAACTGGAATCCACTGAACTCAAACTCTTCTTTTACTACTGAAGATATAAGGTAATTTAAAAACTCACTGAATAAAGAGGCACATGTAAACAGTTCTAAGTGAAGTATTCCTAATAAAGAAACATGATAGTACGTGTAGAGAGTGGCCCAGTGCTATTAAATTTAGTAAAAAAATTAAAACCATTCTTTTGCCTTTATTGCAGCCACTCGACCATCCTAAATATTCTACTTAAAAATCCTGAAGAACTAGATTTCAAACAAAAGCCATCAGCTATACGAAGCAACAAATTATTCACCCTAGACATGAGAGAAGTCCCAATTTCCTCTGCAAAAGCTGATGATAATGGAGCTTACCTTTCCAAAGGAAGTGTAAGACAGTTCTATACCTTCAACGATGCTGGGTCAAGTACTGCTCATAAATCTGAAAATGGTGCTTGGTTTACAAAAGTGAAAGAATCTAAAGTGTACAAAAGACATTTTGTCAGTGAAAATGAAGTCTATGAGCTCACACGACAATATTGCACAAATAAGAATAACCCAGACTTCTCTCGTACAATAGCAACTGTAAGATCATGCAAAGAGAAAGACCCCAAATCACACTACCTTGTTATCTATCGTTGTTCAAAGGAAAACCAAGGTCCAGCTGACTTCATTACTTCAAGGCATGGTAATGCCAAACACCCCACAACCAGTACTTACTACAGACGAGACCCAAAGCTCATGTCCAAAGTTGATGAATTGTTGGAGACAGGCACATCTACAGACCATGTATACAATCAACTGGCAAAAACAACACAGACAACTGTTAGTGAGACAATAAACACTCCAAAACTGATTGATAACAGAAAGTATGCCAAAAAAGTTGCAGGGAAAAGTCAAGTTGATGAAAAGCACAGTGAGGCTGAGATGCTAGTGTCTAGTATGCATGACCTTGACATCATCCAAAGCGTCACCTTCAATAAAGACCAGTATGCAAGCATCAACTTCCTTCCTAATATGATGGATGACCTACACAAATTCTGTGTCATTGGTAACTCTGTTCTAAATGTTGATACAACATTTGAACTTGTTGATGGTCTGTGGCTTACAGACACTACTTACACAAATAAAGCCTTGATTAACCAGAAAGGCAAACATCCAGAATTTCCAGGGCCCAGTTACTGGCATTTCAAGAAGACGCAAGCCAGCTATCGTAGATTTGCTGGAGAGCTTGTCATTGCTCGTCCATCCCTCAGTGATATCAAAAAGGTTGGCACTGATCTTGACACAGCCTTAGCCAATGGGATGAAAGACATCTTTAAAGGTGCAAAGAGCCTGTTTTGTACCCAACATATGCAGGAGCGTGACGCTCACCAGCTGCAAACCATGGGATGCAATTACAACAACAAAAACAGGATATTGGCAGACATCTATGGCTGCCAAAATGATGTTCTCCTTCAAGATGGTCTAGCAGACGCAGATGATGCAGATGACTTTGATGTTAAACTTGAGAGCTTGAAAAGTGTTTGGGAGCAAAAAGTACCTGGTTTCCATGGCTGGTTCAAGAAAAACAGATCACTTGTATTTAAAAGCAACTTGGTGTTGTCTGCCAGAAAAGAGCTTGGCATTGAAGGAAGATTCTATACCAATGGATTAGAGCTTAAACACAAACTACAAAAGAAACATCTTAAAGAGCAAGATATTCCAAAAGAAGTGAAAGCAGTGTCAACAGAACTGGAGAAGTGGACAAGAGAATTCTTTGTCGAGGAGTTGAGAGCTCTACGAGGACTAGGCAAGTACAGACTTGCTCCAGGGTACCAACAATTTGAAGTTGACCCAGTGAGGTGGAATCAGTGGAGCCAGGAAAGGAAGATACAGCATGGTAAAGCATACAAACAGTTSATACCTAAATCTTATGACACATACAAGAAACCGTGTGCAGCTGGACACAAGGCATCTCCGCCAGCAAAGCGAAGAAGGGAAAATCTTGAAGAGCCTCAGCTATTTGCAAGTCGCGTTGATGATGATGAATCAAGACCACCAAACAGTACTCAACATGTCTCACCTCTGCGCATTTCCAAAAATGGCAGCTCCACCTGGAAGGTAAGATAAATAATTATGAGGATTGCAGTTGCTTGAAAATAATAATTACTGTCATATAATTTCAATTTTTTGAAATGATTTTGTATATTTTTGTGGTTTTTAATCCAATTGCAATATTATTCAAACAGTATCATAGTTTACATGTAATTATTTTTTGAGAAAAGAACCACCTTATTTTCATACATGTTTTATGATCAGCATTGATCAATATAATACATGTACATTCTGATTGATAATAGTGCTTACTTTGGCCTAATTAAATGTCTTTTATACTAGGTGCAAGGAAAACCTACTAGTAATGCTTCTACAGAACAGCTCGATATTCTGGATCCAGATAGAATAGCTGGACATCAATATGACCTTGTGCATCGTTCAGACACCAAGCTGTGCCCAAAGTCAGTCACAAGATGTGAACAGTGTCGTGTTGCTTTCCACCAAACCGATGCTGTGGTAGTTAAGTCAGTGGGGGTGAGGGAAAGAACAGACAAGCATGGTAAGACAGTTAAGTATACTGGAAATCTGTACTTACACTTTCTTACAAAATGCCTCAAAGAGTACGACCAGAAGTTTGCCTTCAGCGCAGTAACTGTACCCACCAGAACCCTTGGCTTTTTACCAACTGGAAGCAAGGAAAAACTTTTGGAGAAGGGCCTACAAGTGGAAAAAGACTTGTAAATTTCAATAGATAATCTTGGTTGGCAGTTTGAGCTGCTCAGATCAGTTTGAGCATGAGATAACTAGTGTATTTTAGCTTAGACTAGTTCATTCAAATTTAAAGGGATTTTCAAACCACCTGACTTTCTCCCAAAGAACACACAAAATGAACAGCGTCAAATGAACTAATCTACAGCGAAGATAGACTAGTGATCTAACATAAAACTATAATAAATCAAACTGAACACAGGTTAAACCGCCATTTATTATTCTAAAGTGAGGTCATTTCAGCAAAAACTGCCAGCTTTAATGGGAAGCTGGCTTGTGTTGTTCAAATCATGTTTCATAATAATCAACCACAAGTATATTTGATTATATTGTTATCATTACAAGCCAAAATGTTGTAGTTGTAAATTATCTCTATTCTGTACCAGCCATTATTGGAGAACTATATTTCTTTGTGATATCCCATGAATATGTTTAAAGCTAGTATACATGTAGTTTACCTTTTGAGGATACATGTAATTTCACAGAATGAATTAAGAAATATAATGTTATTTACTTTCTGTTATTATTATTGTTACTATAAAGACATATTGATATATCAGTTAGGTGATATCAAGCTGATTATATATAAGCCTACATTCTATGCACGAACAGTCTGTTTTGATTACTTGTGTACGTTATATTTATATAATCAATAAAAAATATTACACATGACAATAATGTTCTGTATCAGTTTCATGCAAGCTTGTGCACAAATAGACTGAATTTTAGCTTAAAAGTGTATGCATATATTCTAAAATAAATCTATCCTTATCCAATAATTAACACTTACTTCATATGGCCTTCTTCTCCATGTTAAAATGAATCTTCAGAATTTTACACTGCAATCTGCTAGCTAGCCATCTTTGTAAAAGTGAAGAATGTGGACTGGGAACGGGTTTTTTTGTTAACACAGGGAGCCCAAAAAACGTAAAACGTTCTCTTTTTTACTTTTTAATCAAAGGAAAGCAAAGAATAATTTATTGACTAGACAACTAGATTTCTTTAATGCACCTGATGCGACGCAGGCTAAATTTGAGTTGGGTATTCAAAGTTATAAAAGCTTATTTAACGGACATTTTGAGACAGTTTGAGCAGGTTTTGTTGTGGGCAACAGTATGACGATACAAAATATCACCATTTCTTCCACTAAATGTTGTTTATTGTAGCTCATTTTAGGTCATTCTAGCTCATTTCAGGTCATTTTAGGTCATTTTAGGTCATTTTAGGTCATTTTAGGTCATTTTAGGTCATTTTAGGTCATTTTAGATCATTTTAGGTCATTCCTTCTTTTAGTAACTACTATGATGGTGTACTCTTCATAAGAAATTGTGCACTATCTGAATGCACACAATACCACAAGAATTCAAAATAAGTGATTTTCTTTACATATATTTATATGTATCACTGCTTTGCATCAACAAAGCTGAAGAGAAAATATCTAATAATTATTTAATGTAGTGTAATGGAATTTTTTTATTAGAAAAAATAAATTAGTCTTGACA